ATACATTTTTTAAACATGAACTTCACATAAGAAATATTAAACCTTTTTAATCCTATTTATTCTACAAATGAACTTACTTTTTAAACTGTTATTTATCACCCTTTATGTATTTTAAGGCCTAATCTTCAAAGGGCTACATCCTCCCCCTTCTAACTGTCGGCATGTCCTCATGAGACAACTATAACATACCGGAATAAGGAAAGATTCAAACTAAGGTTTAATATCCTACTTTAATGATTACACCCTTATGAATAATGGTTATCGGCTGATCTCTAGCATTTCCTGGTTCATCGTATGTCAAACGAATGACAGGTTTAGATTGTCGCTTAGAACGAGGTCTTAGGCCTAGTTCTGACCTTTTTTTAGTAGAAGACCTAGTTTTAGCTTTATTAGCAGGTGTAATACAGTCTTTCTGATCTGGCTCAGAGTCAGGATCGTCAGACTCAGAGGAGTGGGTGTTGGAATAGTCATCCGACTTTACATCTCGTTCCTCCTCAGATGTGAGTCCTCCTTGATCTTCACCTGAATTTTCAGATTCCTCATGGACTTCATCATCCACTTCCTCAGGAATAGATATGACCTCATCTTGGTCATGAGCAGGAGTCTCTTGTTCACATTGATAATCATCTGCTAACTCATTGCAGGAAGGAGTAAGGAAAAGTTTGTTCAGATACTGCCCATAAGACCTGCGAGTGACTTCGTACTCCAAGTCTGAAGATGAATCAAAGTCYGCATTTTCCACCTCAGATGTTCTTTCACTCTGTTTTTGTTGTCTGTTCCTCACATGTTGTCRCGCCTTTGGTTTTGTAGGTGATTTCCCATGATCTTTATTCTCTGGCATCCTCATAGACTGGCTTATGGGCAAGATGTGATCACGATGTATAGTTTTTACACCCCCSCTTCCATCTTTAGACTTCACCCTGTAGACTGGTAGGTTAGGTAACTTTCCAACTATGACATATGGTACAGAGCTCCAGCGGCTTTCAAGCTTGTGCTTGCCTTTTAACCCCAAGTTTCGAAGAAGTACTTGATCACCCACGTCAATAGTCTGGAAACGAACTTTCTGGTCATATGATCTTTTGTTTTTCTGATGAACCTTGTCAGATGATTTGCTGGCAAGCTCATATGCTTTCTGAAGATCCTCTTTCAATTTCTCCACATATCGGGAATGGCTTCTATGGCCAATGCCATTGGGTGATGTCCCGAAACAAAGATCAACGGGTAGTCTTGCTTCTCTGCCGAACATCAGCAGATAAGGTGAATATCCCGTTGCGTCACATTTCGTACTGTTGTAGGCATGGACGACATATGGGACATGTTGACTCCAGGAACGTTTCTTTTCAGTCCCCAAGGTAGCAAGCATAGACAGCAAAGTACGGTTGAACCTTTCGGGTTGAGGGTCCCCTTGAGGATGGTAAGGCGTAGTTCGGGATTTTTGTACCCCTAGGAGGGTCAACATCTCTCGAATCAACCGACTTTCGAAATCTCTTCCTTGATCTGAATGTATTCTGCTGGGCAGACCATAGTGTACAAAGTATTTCTCTACCAAGACTTTTGCCACTGTAAGCGCTTTTTGGTTCCTAGTGGGAAACGCCTGGGCATAGCGGGTAAAATGGTCAGTCACAACCAATACATTACTTATTCCTCTGGAA